ATCTATCTATCTATCTATCTATCTATCTATCTATCTATCTATCTATCTATCTATCAATCTATCAATCTATCTATCTATCTATCTATCTATCTATCTATCTATCTATCTATCCCTATCTCTTCTTTTTCTCCTCTTATCTATCATCTTCTATCTCCTATCTCTGTCTGTCTGTCTGTCTGTCTATCTATCTACCTACCTATCTATTCCTATCTCTTTTTCTCCTATTTGTCTACCTATCCATTCTTATCATCCATCTTTCTCCACTCAATAGCCATCAATCCCTCCCTCCCTTCCTTCCCTCCCTTCCTTCCCTCCCTCCCTCCTTCCCTCCCTTTCTTTTCCCAAATGGTTGTGTAACTTGGGAACTACCTGTGCATCCTCACATATAAACCCACCTGCAAAATACCCCGAAACCTTTGTGAGAACCGGTTTGGCCTAGTGGTTAAAGTGCCAGGCTAGAGAGTGGGAGAGCGTGACTTCTAGGGCCTCCTTAGGTACGAAAGCTGGCTGGGCGACTTTTGGGCCGGTCCTTCTCTCTCAGCCCACCTCCCAGGGTTGTTGTTGTTGTGGGGGGGGGGGGAAATAGCAGAGGGGAAGGTGTGCCGGAGACGCTCGCCTCTTTGCATTATTTGTCAAAGGGATAAAAGCGGGAGACAAATAAATACATCAATAAATAAGCATCAGGGAGGGAAGTCGGACAGCGGCTTTGGGCCTCTTCCAGCATAGCTCGCAAAGGGAGCGGATGAATTCCTGGAAGGAGGAAGGGAAGAAATGGGGGGGGGGGGGAAGGGGGGGGAAAAGGCAGCCCCACCTACCTGCCAAAAGCAGCAGTTTGGGGACAGGGCAATTGAGGAAGAGGTTGGAGAGACCCCTGAACCAGCCATCCCAGTATCTCTCCGTTTTGGACAGTTCAATCCGCCAGGTGTAGGTGGCTTCTTTCTTGGTCTGTGGAGAGAGAGGGGGGGGGGGGGGAGGAAGAAGGAAAATAGGCCACCAAGCAAGAGGCTGACAATCGGGATGTCCACTCATAAAACATTCCTAGGCCTCTTTTAGTAGTTGCCATAAAACAGGAGGGAAAGCAAAAGTACATTCCAACTCTTTATCTTTAAAAGACTGTAACTAAACTACCGGAGCTTTTGCCCAGGGATATATTTAATTGGAGAACGTGATTGATGACACCCAACCTGTGAAGATGCTCAATTGGAGAATCTGATTTATGACACACCCAGGGGGGAGGGGAGGGGAAACAGGGTCACAGGGGACTGTAAATGATCTAGGCCAGAGTGGGCTTCATACAGGGCAGGGCCAGGATGTAGACTCCGATGAATCCTTGGAAGTTTTTTTGAAGATTGGCTCGGGGATCATGATTCAATTAGGGCGACACCGGAGCATCTCAGCACCAAATTTTTTTTGCACAGGCTTCACATGCAAAGGACCAGAAAGGGGGAAAAAATAAGGGCTGGGAAAAGTTTCTCACTGTTCTGACCGAGGCTTCCCAAAATCACGAAGCCCACTCCTCGTCCCGACAAAACCCCTTTTATTTAGGCTAAGGTGAATTCCTCTCGTTCGCATCCAGCAAAGTCAGGCAAACAGTCTTTTAAAGGGTGAATTACAACCACAGATCTTGTCAGGCTAGGAGAGTTGCCAGGCCGATAGCTTGCAAGCGCCACGCTGTAGCAGCAATTACTTGGCAAGAAGTTATGGAACAAATCTTCACCCTAATGAATTGAACTAATTGTCTCCTGCAAAACCCACTCCCCTTTCGCTCCTCTTTTATTCCCCATGGGAGGGGCCATTCCCCATCCACCTGAGCCTTTACTCAGGAGTCGACCCTTATTCCTTAGCTGTTCCCTTCTTCTGGCAGCTCTGTGCATGCGCACATTGGGAACAGGCTCCAGCTGTTCTTCTTCCCCACTGATTTCCAACTCCGAAGGCAGCTGATAACTGTGGGACGGCCCTGGCCCCATCTCTGCCTCCGACGCAGAGCCCTCATCCGAGCCTTCCCCAGACTCCAGGACTGGCCCAGGTTCCCCCCCCCCGCCCCAACCTCCTCACTGTCCAGGTCTGACGCCAGCTCCGCTAACCGCTGGCGGGCCGCAACACTCACCTCCACGTCGTCATCTTTCTTCTTCTTGTTGAGAGACTCCCCGTTTTCGCTTTCCTCTTCCTCTTCTTCCTCCTCTTCTATAATCCCTTCCACGATGGCTTTGGGGCCGCCGGGGCTCGTGGCTTCTTCGCACCTGATTGCAAAGTTTGCAAGGGAAATGAGATTAAAATGAAGGCCTTCCAGATTGACAAACTTGAGAAAAACCAGGAAAATCCCGGAAAGGTCTTTACAGCGAGCGAAAGGAATGTGGACGCGATCTTGGAATTGCCTGTCAAAGAAATTCTCCACGGGTCAATTCTCTACGGGTCAACGTATGCCTAGCACGGTTGGGAATGTTTTCGGTAATGGCCATGGCCCCTTCTCCATGTTTCTGGAGTCCGTTATACATCCCATCACAATAAAGGAGGCTATTTGCAGCTCAGACTTGAACTGTGGGACCCTTGGTGCTCTCTGAGCTGGGTCGTTTTCTTACGGACGTTTCATGACCCAGCTAGGTAACATCATCCATGTTAGAAGGGAGCAGGGTTTGCAGAGAGCAGGACAAAGAGAAGAGGGAGGAGGAGGACTGTGGTGCTCTCTGAGTTTTCTTGTTTTCTTGTAGACGTTTCATTACCCTACTAGGTAACATCATCAGAAAGGATTTGCAGACAGTACAAAGGGAGGAGGAGGAGGAGGAGGAGGAGGAGGAGGAGGAGGAGGAGGAGG